GNGNGGGGGGGGGGGGGCTCGTCACTAAATGCCACCCAGCAAATTTCTAGTGGCGACCGACTTATGAATAATTTATCATTTCCACGGACCTGGTTCTTTCACTTGTAGAGTAGCCAATTACCACTGAGCCGGTGGCACACGATGGGCGAAAACACGTACTTCACACCCATTGTTCGTCGATATAAAGCGCTTATACATTACAAAGAGAATTTTCGTAGGACTGCCATTACTTTAGTTTGCAGCGTGTGCATTGAGAACGGGTATCTTCGGCAGCCTATCCGCTGACGCAAACATAGTTTGAGGTTCGTGAGCGCTTGAAGTTGCTGTGGTGTTCTCCAAGTTTGTTGGTCTGGTGATGTTGTCTTTGTTAGGTTGTTGTCTGTCATTTCCCTCCATTTTTTTAATGTTTGGCGGCCCGTCTTCGATCGGCTTCGGTAAGATCTGTTCCTTCCCAAAGTGATTGCTCCATTAGCGCTAGTGCAGCCACATTTAAATTTGTAAAACTTCATGCCTACAGTCCCGTTTCGATTCGATTCGTTCATCAAAGTAGATTTTACTGAGGTATAATTTTACAAACTGATTGTGGAAGTACTAGTACTTAGTACTGAAGTAAACAAGAAACAATTACGCGCTCTGGTTGAGTTCATGGCATTTACATAAAACAAGGTGCTAATAGCCGTTTGTCGAAGACCTGTCAGCAGCCCTCTGATTGGTCACCGCTAGAAATCTACTGGATATCGTATAGTGTACACGGGGGGAGGTGGTCCTACGTGGCGGAAGAGAAGCGCACGGCGTTTGATTCGGCTCCTAGAGGTTAGCGGAGATGTCGACCCTGGTAATCTGCGGGGAGAGGGCTCTGCATGGCGCGGTGAGCGCACGACGGCGTGGAGGTCGTTAGCGCATGGCGTGTAGGTCGTCCTAAAGTGACAAACTAGAAACAAAGTCTAAAAGACCTTCACTACGCGTATCTGGTGAAATTTTTGAGAAGAAACATTCAGAGTGAGATCAGACAAGCTTTCGTGTGCTCTAGATGGAATGGAGGTTTCCCCACTGAAGGAATATGTTTGTTTTGTGAGGCCACATCAACTTGGCCAACCAGCACTGGACGAAAACCGACGTTTCCGGGTCGTATACTCCCGTACACACGCCCGGAAATTCCAAGTATACGGACATTTCCAGGTGTGTGCGACCCGTACACTTGCCGTGTGCGGGCCTGCACACGGCCCGGATATGAACCACTCAGGTGTTCGGGCTGTGTACCGGCCTGTGCACGCCTGCACACGCCACCCGTAAATCTCCGCACACGCCCGGATACGTGACACGTACCTCTGAGTGTGTGTATGAAATGTGCTTAAATTAGCGGTAATTTTCACCTAATTATCTTCCTCATTATCAGTCCGTGTACGGGTCGTACACACCCCGCACACGTCCCCCCTCCGATATGCCTTTTGTAATGTAAAGTAGCATCATGGCCGTTTATTCTCCCACCTTGTTTGCATAATTTTGTTTTCTTTATTGATTGTACATGGTCAACAACTAGCCACGGCAGAATCTAATAAGCTACATATTATGCACCCGACCGGCTTGTGGTACTGTGTGAGCCTACGGACAGCCGCAAGTGAAATACCGTGCGCAGGCGAGTGATAGACCGGACCGACTAATCTGCTATGCCCCAAGGAACATTCCCACGGGCGGCACATCTTGTGCCTCAGCACGGCCTTGAGTCGGGACACAGCGGATAGTCAGGAGGGGTGTACATCGGTCCTGGTCCGGTCTATTACTCTCTTGCACGTGGACTATCACTCGCCTATGCCCGCAGCCTGGCTCCCAGGGTTCTGCCTACCGTCTTTTCAAAGAACGAGGCATACTCTGAGGTTCACAATCTTCCCAATCAACCTCGGCCTGGAGAGTATGCGTAGTCTTGTCTCAGTTCGTCTTGCCAGTGTCCCACGGCGTTCTTGTCTTGAAAACTGCTCCAATTTACATAGAATGACCGATATTTCTCCGCGAGTGTCAATGATGAGATATGACACAATCTCTCACCGTGGAGCTTTTCTACCTCCATGCTCTCACTACGTTTCTTCTATTCTAGTGTGTTGCTTGTGTCCAGGACAGTTGTATAATGCACGTTCCACAACCAGGCTAGTAACGGAAAGATTTCAAAAATAATGACTCGAGCGTTAATTCGCCCCCTTTTCAAACCCCAACAAAGAGAAATGAATGCAATTGGCTGGTCTGGTTTACAGGTCACTGCAGGAATAATGACACAAAGAGTTGTGAAATGTCCCGCTTGTCTACTATTGTGTAAAAGTTGCATGCACACTAATAAAAAAACATAGGCTAATCTTTAAGCCAAAATACTATGGAATGTTACCATTAACACATAATTTGCAGTTTAACTCTGTAATGTTTTCAACTTCGTGTTCTTAAAGTTCTAGAAAATGAAATATAACCAAGGAAGTTAAACCTCCCTTATAAAAAAAAAACAAGGTAAATAAGACATAGGCGGCGTCTCGTCTCTGACCATGCCACAATACACATCTGACAACAATGTACAAGTAAACCGTGCATCTTTTGTCTCTTCCATTTTTTTTACACTAAAGTGGGCTGATATTTGAAAAACACCAAGCCGGTCCCCCTCATCACCAACAAAAAATGACCATGTTTGCAAAGGTAAAATATGTCAAGTTCGAAGGTTCCCAATAGCCTAGTTTGGTAAAATTCTGATCAGTAAGACCAGTAATTCTGCTGTTGTTTTTTGCCCACTGTAGATCCAATATGGTGCCGGGATAATGAAGCGTTAATATATGCGGGGAGACAACGGACCACACAAAGAAATCTGCTTATTGTTCATAGCAAGGGTTATACTAGTAGTTCCTGTCATGATTGATGCCGAAATAAAACTTATAAAATACTGGCACCGTTTGGAAAATTTACCCGAAGACGCTCTACTCCACGAGGCATACAATATTCTACATTCCGCTGATTCTGACTGGGTAAATCATATACACGACATCCTTAATTATAACGGTTTTGGATATGTATGGAAAAACCCCAGGTTGTATCACGTTGACATGTTTGCAGATCAATTACGACGTCGTTTACAGGATATTTACATCCAAGAATACCATACTTCTGTTCAAAACAATTCAAAACTTTCTGTCTATTCGATGTTAAAGACGAGGTACGGACAAGAAAATTACCTTTCTGAAATACACAATTTTGAAGTTCGTAGATCGATTACAAAGATGAGAATTTCTTGCCATAAATTGAATATAGAATTAGGAAGATATAAAAAAATCCCTCGCGACCAGAGGTTTTGTCCATTCTGTCCCAATGATATTGAAGATGAACAACATTTTATTTTGAATTGTACACTATATAACGATAAACGCACAAAGCTGTTCAACCTTCTCTCCGCCTGCTCAACAGAATTTGTTACATTTCATGCTATAGATAAATTTAAGTTCATCCTAGAAGGCAATAACCCTTACTGTGTACAAATAGGTAAATATATCAAAGAATGTTTAGACCTTAGAACAAGTAGTATTAGTTGACCCACCTATTGTTCTGTACGTAGGATATTTTCGTTATACCCATGTATACGTTATACCCATGTATAATTGTCTGTATATCTACATGTCTTTGACCTTACAAAAGTCGCTGTACTTTTTGTTGTGTCAATAAAGTTCTTCTATAAACTTTGGGATACACTTAGACCCCATTCATACCAAGGACGTTATATCAGAACCTAGTTGAAGCTCCGTGTTCATATAAAATCCTTGTTCATACCAAGCTTTATATATCCTTCTAGATTCTTTAGCAGAGTTTATATAATGTCCTTGGTTTATATAAGCCTAGCGTGGCCCAAAAAATCAACCATTCTCTGGCGAGGTCGAGTTTATTTATAGCAGACATCGGCCCCCAAACAACATTTATTCTATTTACCGACTTTTAATGTAACGTGGATTTCCTCTACCATCCAATCTAGATGTCTTGTCTTTGTGTTGCGTTGCCTGTTACCTATAACGTTTTAGATAGTAATTCAGTTCATGGTGCGAACTCATGTTTAGGTAGATTTCAGGAGTGAAAATAATATTGTTTTCTAACCAGCATTTTCCCCGTTCTTCTTACACGCGGCCTTTGAAAACACATGTGCACCTCTCAATTCACGCATTTGCGAAACGATCTACATGTATGGTGACCCCTTATTGTTTGGCACTACTTGGGACGTGTGACGTGTGCAGGCCCGTATATTCCCGTACACACGACTAATTACCAGGTGTCCGGGCGTGTCCGGAGGTATCACAGACCCGCACACGCCGTGGCTGATATTTCCCGCACTCGCCGGGACAGGTATAAACAGATATTTTTCCTTAAAATTTCATCACTTTTTACAAAAAAGGTTCATAAAAACGTCTTCAGTCTTTTTTTTTTGCAATGTATTTTACAAAAAAAAAAAAAAACTTTTTTGAAAGTTCAAGATTGATGATCCAAGATAGCGGATAGCTTAAATATACATAACATCATTTTGTAACGTCAGTGGTGTTGCTATTGGCAACAATAGTCTTAGTACACCCTAGAATATTGTATTATAACCATTTTTTGTTAAAGTTACGTTGTACAACATTGAGTTTTTAGGGAATAACGTATCTATACGGTTTTGGCTATTTAAAAGGACATAATGTCATATTGCGTCATAACGACATCAAAATTGTTGATATCGTTCTTTTTAACTAGAGCACCGTCCTCTAAAAATTCGGTGGCCATATGATATATACCCTGGATGCCAAACTAGTATCGGGGGGTTAGCCGTTTTCCTTCGGCAGCCAAGAACCATTCGCCCACCTACCTAAATTACTGCTACAGGGGAGTTGAGCCCGAGGGGTTTGTTCGGTAATAGGGCCGGACAAACCCCTCGGGCTCAACTCCTCTGTAGCGGTGATTAAGGTAGGCGGGTGAAGGGTTCTTGGCTGCCGAAGAAAACAGCTTACGGCCCGATACTAGTTTGGCATCCTGGGTATATGATATACCGTTGGCGAGTTCGGAAGGGGGGCCCGACCCCCCCCCCCCCCCATCCCACGAAGCCCAAAAAAGCTCGGTCTAGATAGGGTTAAGATTAAAAGCATGAATAGTCAAACATATCTCATTTACGGCTCAAAATAACAATAAGGGTTGTCCTGAAAATCGTTTTAGGGCTTAAAAAGTCAAGTTTAAAGTTGACTGAGCTCAATTTGTATCTCCTAATTGTAGATTTAAATAGAACATGTCTTTAAACATCTTTAAACGTATTAGTATATGTATTCATGTGACGTATGATTAATATGACTAAATGATTTGGAATCAACATATGTAATGTAGAATGGCGGGGCTTTGCGAAGTGTATTAAATATGACAACTCAGGCTCATCAGTAGCATGGTTGCTTCACCATTCAATGTTTAATTCTTTTGTTAATTGTCTTTTACGTTTGCAGGTGTTGTCCAACATGTTGGACATGGTAAATCCACGGTCATCACTGTTTGGAGGAAAATCTCTTTTCGAAATATATCGTAAACAACTGAATAGTATAGGGGGAGACCTGGAACATAATATGGTGAAGGTATAAAGCTTTTCCTTATTCACTTCCTTATTTTTATTTTTTTCCCTTTTTACGATCCCAAGCGTCGTGGTCTTTATTTTGAATTCACATTGATGTACATAAAAAATTTACAGAAGATACAATGTATTTATTACAACCTATAAGACTAAGAAGGTCTCCCAATTTTCTTTTTGCGTTCCTGTATAACATATTTTCTTTTATTTTTTAGATGAAAGTAAAGTCGTTTCTTTCATTACATTCTTCTAACCCATGTCGAAAATATATTCCTAGACACTTAATCGGCCTTTGAGGAATAGAAATCTCTTCGATTTCCTTACTCCTAAACATCCAGCAACGTAACCAAATTACTTGTGTTTTTTTAGGTTTAGTTGTGGCCCTATTATTTTACTGAAATATATTTTTGCCTGCATGGCAACATGTACAGACTCTTCGCTCCCCCTTTAAACTTTCTTCTTTGACTTGACCTGAAAGTTGCACAGTTTGAACACATCGAACACATGAAGTGATATATATTTTTACAACTAGTGATAATTGGTCTGGCAAATCATCCTAGTCTTCCTGCTGTGAAAAGGCTAAATCATTTAAAGTACATGTCTTGCGTTTATCAGTTAATGCATATATAGTGCTTTGAATACAGTATATATGTATTTTTAATCATTACTGTACATATTGAGTAATTACAAAAATGAATTTATGTAGTTTCTCGGATCATGGGTGGGACAGAGAGGGAAGAGCGCGGGCATTTAGAATGACATGCGGCCATTGGAAGTGGTAAAGACTAGATCATCACAACTATCATGTCGGGCGACTAGCCCGGACCAAGGCCACTCTCTCTCTCTTTCTTAATAAAGACAGGATAAACAAGCATGCCGATTGAGGAGAAATTTTTTTCACCCTCCTGACTTATAGCTGGAGATAAAACCTCTAAGTCACATTCGAGTTTGAAATTCTAAACCCTCTCTCTAATACCTCTTCACGCATGAATCTGAAACTCAGAATGTAAAGTGAAAATAGTAAGTTTTCTATTACGTATAGTCGATAGATCTAAAGTAAATTAACATTTGGCTTTCAAATTAATAGGTTTGTAAATTAATATTTTTTTGGGTTTTGTCCATAACTACTAGTAACACATGTTAATGATCACATGCAGATGCGACTCAAAGTTGCGCAGGTCTACGGACTGATCGGAGGTGGATACTCTGCGTGGGCAACAGCTCTGCGAATCAAGGGGCGGAAACATGAAATTCCATCGATAGTACGAACGGGGAAAGGAAAACTCAGCAGTGTGAAACGAATCCTGCAAAAATATGTTGATTATGGTACGTTTACTGACGACATAAGGCTTGAAAAAAATCTTCAACTGGGATCTATGTTTATGCCAATGAACATTTTCCTATAAAACATAATGCTATGCATTGAAGACTCTTTCTGGCTTGCTACAACATATTATGTTGGATTTATCCCTTTTTTTTTAGATCTTTTGGTATAACTGCTGTTTTTATTAGGTTGGACATATCTTGGGCATAAAACATCCAATTCAAGGCTATCGTCTGATAAAGTAGGCAAAGGCATACCTATCATATCATTGGCAGTCCAGTCTCGGCATACCACAACAAGAGTTAAAGCACATCATACCTTCACCGAAAAATGTTAACCATTTTATGGTGTACAAATTTAAGATTTTTACACATGGTGATGTTTCTAACATATGATGATGTTTCTAACACATGATGATATATCTAGCACATGATGATGTTTCTAACACATGATGATGTATCTAACACATGATGATGTTTCGATGTTTCTAACACATGATGATATTTCGACAAATTTGAGATTTTTACACGTGGTGATGTTTCTAACACATGGTGATGTTTTTAACACATGGTGATGTTTCTAACACATGATGATGTTTCTAACACATGATGATGTTTCTAACACATGATGATGTTTCTAACATTAAGATGTTTCTAACACATGATGGTGTTTCTAACACATTATGATGTTTCTAACACATGATGGTGTTTCTAACACATGATGATGTTTCTAACACATGATGATGTTTCTAACACATGATGATGTTTCTAACACATGATAGTGTTTCCAACACATGATGATGTTTCTAACACACGATGATGTTTCGACAAATTTGAGATTTTTACACGTGGTGATGTTTCTAACACATGGTGATGTTTCTTACACATGGTGATGTTTCTAAGACATGATGATGTTTCTAACACATGATGAGGTTTCTAACACATGATGTTGTTTCTAACACATGATGATGTTTCTAACACACGATGATGTTTCGACAAATTTGAGATTTTTACACATGATGATGTTTCTAAAACATTAAAGATGCTCTAATTTTTGTTGCATTGCTGAGCAACAGGCAGCAACTGATAATAATTTTAGAGCCAACTCTGGTTAAAGCTACCGTAAAAGCACATGTTGACTGTAGATTCTTTTATTAGTAAATATTGTGCATGTATTATAAAAGTGATTGTGGTTTGAACAATCGTGGACACAAAGGTAAACTGTAATTGTAATGTTGTGACAAACTTGAAAATGTTCTGATATAGGTACCTGCCATGGAGGCTATCAACGAAAGAACAGGAAGTGCTACAAAGCATTCGGATTCCTCAAGGCATGGCACGATGCATCTGCCTACTGCCGAAGACAGGGATCAGGAGGAAATCTTGCAATGCCAAAAGACAGAAGTACTGACAATTTCGTTATCGAGTTGAAAAATGCTAAAAGCACTTCAAAACAGTTTTGGTTTGGACTGAATGACGGGGGGAGCGAAGGCCGATGGAAATGGAATGATGGCACGACTTACAGTCGGATGTATTACAATAACTTTACACCAGGTCAGCCTGATAACGGCTATTGGAAAGATTGGTTGGGCCGTTACAAGCGCAATGAAGACTGTGCATTGTATTATGAGGCAAACAAGGACACCTGGAACGACACCTGGAACGATGTAGACTGTAGCCTGGAAAGATACTTCATCTGTGAGCGGACCCCCTTTGGTAAGTGCACAAATACCATAGAACACAATAACTTGCAGAATCACTTGATGATGAATTTGCAGTTCCACTGTTATAAATTACCTACGTAACAGTAACGATATCCAATTAAATCAAAGGCATTTCAAGATTTGCTTAACACATTGATATAATTGAATTATTTCAAATTGACCAGTAGTTCAAGGACTGATTCTTGTTCCTCCTTGAGCTAAGAACTGTAAAGCTGGAATACGATTATGGTAAATAAGACCTTTAACTGAAATAATAACATAAATGCATACTAGTTGTTAGAGTATGTCATTGTTTTATATGTGTTTGACTGCACGTCCACTAATAGCCACTTTTTTTTCATTATGACAGGATTATACTGACCAGAACACTTCCTGACAATATGGTGAATCGCTCAGAGGATGCAGTGCTATGACTATTGCTTGTGAATTTACCGGTATACCCATTTTGTAATGCACAAGCTCTTATTTACTTACTCTATCAATACCCATGTACTTTCGATAACAAAATCTGCAAAATTAATCATTTTGATTTAAGTTGTGTCGTTCTTATGGTAAATGACGGCATGTTTACATAGGCATCATCTCCCATTCATTGTCTTTTTTTAATGCATAAAATGAAAGCATGAGACTACTTTTCCATAACCGTTTTATAAAATTCCCCATTCCATCAAACCTTGTTTGGGGGTTAGATCCAAACAACTCAATCTAACTACTACTGAATTTGTTGTAATGTGCTTTATTATCAGTACACTATGAAAAAGGAACAATCTTCTTACTTTTTCGACCCCCCCCCCACTCTCTTCCAACCCCTTTTTTCAAATTTACTACCAGACTTGAGACTCTATCTGATACCATCCATAAAATACACCATGTATGGCTGATTGCGACAATATCTTTACATATAATCTTTTTTTATTACATTTACAATTAAGAACATGTGCGATTTACTTTTGCAGTCAATGTTAGCTTATGCTTGTCTGCTACTTTGATGAATCTGGTGTTTACATGCCATTTACTAAGTAAACTGTATTTTGCCTTGGTTATGGGGTGAGGCATTTCCTTATCACAGACTGCATGTAAAGTGTATCACCGTAGCCTGCTTAACAGGATCCGTCCTATTATTGATGTAATTCTTCGCCCAAATCAGAATGGCTTTCGCCAAAGCCGATCCACTACATCACATATTCTAGTCCCTTGTAAGATCCTTGAGAATGTGTTCAGGAAACTCTCAAGTCTTTGTACGAATGAACTTTTACAAAGGCTGATCAGACTGAAGTCATGATTTTACATGTACACGGCAGAAAACCTTCAGTAGCTCTTCAATGCTAATCATGGACTAGAATGCATTTGCACATTGCAGTCCTGTATAGGTAGCTCCTGATTTCAGTCACTGTTATACAAGAAGTTTTTGAATTTGTTTTTTTTTTTTTTTGTTTTGACATCATATTATATACAGGCACACAATGTCCTTCTGATGACAGGATCAAATCAAGTTTACTTGGTGATAAATAGGCTTCATTTAGATCGCGAGTTTTCTTCTGAATGCTTAAAAGTGTTCAATTGGTGATTTTGTTATAGAAGTAGATGCTGTGCTATTATAAAATGTCATTAGTTTTATTGCTTTCGTTATTACTTATTTAGATACAGGCACACTATGTCCTTCTGATGGCAGGATTATACCTGGTTTACTTGGTGACAAATTGGCTGAATTTAGATCGTGGATTTTCTACTGAATGCTTGAAAGTGATTAATTGGCGATTCTGCCATAGACGTAGACGCTGTGCCGTTATTGCTTTTTATTATCAACTACTTAGTATTTAGATACAGGCACACAATGTCCTTCTGATGGCAGGATCATACCAAGTTTACTTTGTGACAAATTGGCTTCATTTAGGTCGTGAATTTTTTTTGAATGCTTAAAAGTGATTAATTGGTGATTCTGTCATGATAGAAGTAGACGCTGTGCCATTATAGAATATGCACATTTTTTTTTGCTTTTTGCTATCATCTATTTAAATACAGGCACACAATGTCCCTCTAATGGCAGGTTTATACTAAATATATGTATGTATGTATGTATGTATGAAAATTTGACAACACTTGGATTAAGTGAACGGGAGGTTTGCGCATGAAAAATATCTGCTTAAAAAATCCTGAAACATGCCAGAAAATATATAAAGCCTCGACCCGGACTTTTGGAGGCGACATTAAGGAATGGTGGTTCTGTCATAGAGGTAGACGCTGTGCCATTAGAATATGTTATGTAAGCCTTAAAGTTTTGAAGTGTGTATATTAGGGGCTGCCCAGTCAAGTCGTTGGATACTGCAAGAAAAACAAAACTTACGTCTTCCTTATAAAACATGATCGATTGTACCAGCTGAAATACAGCTATAAAAAAGATTTCTAATTCTTAAAACTCAATAACACCTTAAGCAGTAAGACTTTTAGTCAGAGTATCAATTGCAGTTAAAAACCAGTTGGCTGAGCAACGGTGATGACGTCGAACCAGTAACACTATGATGTTCCTCTTATGTAATCTACTAGCAGATGTGAGACTCCGGTTTGTTTTGTTTGTCTTTCTTTGGAATTTTGTACATCTCTTTGTAAAGCATGTTTTTGTCTATTTTTTCTTCATGATCATTTGGTGAAGGCAACCAATAGAAAAATCACACTACTATGAAATCGTAGTTACAAACATGTAAGACATGTCAAACAAGACATAGTATTTTGTCAACGTGGAGATTGCCTTACCAGAAAGGTGATAAAACATGTATTTGTAATGGATAGATCAACACAATAAAGTCGGATGTCCATATCGTTAGTGAGGAACACTTTTATCATGTGAGCAGAAGAATCGGAACATTGATAGATGCGGACTAGAAAATGCCTTACCTTGTGGCCTTAAGATCAATGCCAATTACATCTTAGAGGGGAAACTGTTAGTGACACCTGAATGAAACTTGTGTAAAACATCTATACATGGTGTGTGTTGATGATCATCATTGAGACCCATTTTAGGATGTAATTTTTTTTTCTTTTGTCAACTATATAACATAGGTAACGGTAAGTTAAAGTTAGATCCCAGTCTGTATTGTTGAAATGTCTTTACACATCAAAAAGGAAGGACCATCATAATATTAAGGTATATACTCACTTGTCACTATCCTAACGTAAACATTTTTATGCGATCCAAAGTAACATCTCATGAAATGTTTGTATGTGAGTAACATTCCACACAGAAAAGCATAATACATACATGTACTGATGAAAAGAATTTCAATTGTACATCAGTGACGTTAGCAGACTTTTTGTTACCTGGATATTTCAAAGACACCATTAAGAAACGGTAACATGTCAGGAACTTGAAATGTGTCTGATAGGGTTGAAAACGGACTGAAGAAAATAAGGTGGTATGTTAAAGATCGTGCAAAAAGAAAGTAACATCTGAATCAGGGCTGAATGTTGAACTTCGATTGTACTTGTAGTTTGTTTCAGTTCCCAGCTGAAATTACCTGCAGCAATCAGATCCTGGTAACAATTAAGAGTTTCACAATTTAAAAACAGTTTAATATCAACACTGTTATATCTGCTGTCTGTCATTGGGACTGGTGTTGTTAAGAATGCTTAAGATGTTGCACTTTTTTCTGATTTCTACAATAAATGGAGACTATTATGGTTACATTATGCATCTGTGATTTTTGACCCGTGTGTCTGTGTACGTGTATATCATGTGTGGTTTGGTGTGTTAGATCTGGTCCCAAGAAAATTGAATATAATGTAATACAAAAAACACACGAAAGTTATGTTAATTTGAGAGTAAATTAATAAAACATGATGACGGAAAGAAAACTACAATTAAAGCGATCTACATGTAGATGTAATTGTTAAGTGGAAAGATAAATCCCAGAAGAATAGAGATGCGTGCTTCATTAAAAATGGCAGCCTTAAAGCGGATGTAGGGCAGGCCTTGTTTTGTTGGTCTTTTTCAGCCTTTTAGGTTTCAAGTTTTAGCACAGAGAGTCTAGACATACACAAAAGGCTACAAAAGAACCCCATTCCAAAGTACAGTATACAATTATTCAAAACTCCGGGGTTAGATCAGAGGCCAATATACGAGCTTACAATATAAAAAAAAATAGAAAGAAAAATGGCGATGTATATTCTTAATTGCAAGCTAGGGGTGGGGGAATAACAACGCCTTTTTTGGTATAAAATGAAAGCCTCAAACACACTTTTGCAAAATAAAAATGCGGGGAGGGGGGCCAAATTACAAATCAAACAGTGCACAAAAATAGAATATGATTATGATGAATATGAAGCTGCTGATCATAATCCGGAAATCAGTGCAGAAAAGAATCTTGGCTACATCAACAAATTTTGTTATTACATTCATATCTACCCAAAGTAGCTTAGGATTAACCTAACTAAACAGTTTAGTTTGAAGTTAGAAGTTACATTTTATTGCAAATTAAATACAGCACATTTGTTCTTCTATATACAGGCGCAACTAGGAGATATCCTTTGGGATATTTTAGGGAACATCAGACGGTTCAGAATGTTGCCTAATCTGGCAACATGCCCCG